TTGGTAAACTTCCTGATAGCCTCCTTCTCAGGAGGTGAGATTATAGACAGAGATCACAACATCTGACTCATATTTTCATTTCTCATACAATGAAATGAAGCTGCTATTATCCTAATTTCTTCGTTATTTATTTTATTTAGTTATTTTTTTATTGTGAAAATACCATACAGAGGAGTTACAATTACATGGGCAATATAATGAATACATTTCTTATCAAGCATTGTTGCCTCCTCCTTTGTTTCCCCTTCCTAACCCTTCCCATCTCCCCCCCCCCCACAAAGTTGTAAAGTTCGTTTTTCTTTTTTTTTTTAATTGTGAAAATGCTGTACAGAGGGGTTACAATTACATGGGCAAGATAATGAGTACATTTATTATCAAGCATTGTAGCCTCCTCCTTTGTTTCCCCTTCCCATCCCTTCCCATTCTCCCCCTAGCCCGCCCCCGTCCCCTCACCCAATCCTCCCCCCACCCCACCAAAGTTGTAAAGTTCGCTTTGGACATAACAACTTGTACATCTCATTGTTGCAATGGGTCCACTTGTATCTCTATTTAAAGAATTTGTTTTTTCCCTTCCCCTCCACAAATTATACGAACATCAAATACAGTGAAAGCAGGGGTTATACTGTGGGGGAGGGACATACAAAGCAACAAAGAAATAATCTTATAAATATGTTAGAAACAATCACATTATAGAAAAAAAAAACATTTGAATACTTACCTTGGGGTTTATTTTACCTAACATCTGACCTTTTCTGCTTGTCTCAGACATATACTAGTTATTGCAAATAAGGGAAACCATGGGACTTATGTTTCTTTGGGCCTGGCTTACTTCACTTCATATAATTTGTTTCAAGTCTTTCCAATTCCTAACAAATGGGGCAATGTCATTCTTTCTCATGGACGCATAGAATTCCATTGTGTATATATACCACATTTTCTTGATCCATTCATCTACTGAGGGGCATCTGGGTTGGTTCCATATCTTAGCTATGGTAAATAATGCTGCAATAAACACAGTTGTGCTGGTAGCTTTAGTATGGTCTTGTTTGTGATCATTTGGATAAATGTCCAAAAGTGGGGTTGCTGGGTCATAGGGGAGCTCTATGTGGGGTCTTTTGAGGAACCTCCATACTGCTTTGCAAAGTGGTTGAACAAGTTTACACTCCCACCAACAATGCAGTAAGGTTCCCTTCTGTCCACATCCCCTCCAGTATCTGTTGTTATTATAGTTCTTGATTTTTGCCATTCTAACTGGAGTGAGGTGGTATCTCAATGTTGTTTTGATTTGCATTTCTTTTCTGGCTAGGGAGGTTGAGCATTTCTTCATGTGTCTATTGGCCATCCTTCTTTCCTCTTCAGAGAAGTTTCTCTTTAAGTCTTTAGCCCACTTATTTATTGGGCAGTTGTTTCTTTGAGGATTTGTTGTTGGGGGATTTGATTTTTTGAGTTCCAGGTATATTTTAGATATGAGACCCTTGTCCATTGTATGGCTAGTGACGATCTTCTCCCAATCCGTGGGCTTTCTATTGATCTTGCTAGCTATGTCCTTTGTTTTGCAGAAGCTCTGCAATTTCATGCAATCCCTTTTGTCCAACCTTTCTTTGATTTGCTGTGTATCCTAATTTCTTTGGGTGGGTAGGGGGGAGGACGGGAAGGGGTGGGAAGGGGAAACAAAGGAGGAGGCAACAATGCTTGATAAGAAATGTACTCATTATCTTGCCCATGTAATTGTAACTCCTCTGTACAGTATTTTCACAATAAAAAAAAAAGACTGCCTAGATTACTGGGTCCTGGGCCTGTAGTCTCAGCTACTCAGGAGGTTGAGATCTGAAGTCAACCCAAGCAGTAGTCTTTGAGACTCTTATCTCCAATTAACCATTCAAAAGCCAGAGTTACGGATCAAGTTATAGAGTATCAGCCTTGAGTGAAAAAAAAACAAAAAACCTAAAGGACAGCTCTTAAGCCCTGAGTTCATGCTCCAGTACTAGCATATACAAACAAAAAAGATTGTCTAGCTCATTAGTTTGTACAAAGATCATTTACCTCTGTCCTGTAGTGCTTTATTTCCTGATGCTATTGAGATGGTGGTGATAAACTATTTAAAATTCCTCTAGGTTTAGATTAAGTCTTGCTTTAATAATCTTCATCCATTTCCTTCAAATCTTCTTTTCTTGAACTTATTTATGAAGGACTGGAGTTTCAGATGGTCAAGCTGACTTTTTGATCTAAATGATGAATATCTACAAGATATGTGTGTATTTGTGCATATGTGAACCCAGGCATGAAAATGATTAGTTTAAACCTAGAGCAAAGCTTGAAGAAATCCTCCTACAAAAACCTCTATTACCTTTCTGTTAGGGAGGAGCCTGGGTTTTATCTTGTTACCATGACAACATTCCTTCCGCTCCTTTTTACCTACTGTGCTGTCTGGAGTATTTTGTTTTTTCATTTCTTTCTACTCTTACCTTTCCCAGTTTCAAGCTTCACAGCAGAGCTGTTTCATATAAATGAAAACGGGTTTTTTTTTTTTTTTTAACAGTTTATTTGCCTGATACTCTTTCAGCTAAAACTATCTTTGCCAAATGCTCAAAATCTTATATATTTATGAAATAGACCTAGCTTTTTTTGGATTTCTTTGTAGAAGTAGAGGATCCTATGTGCCTTTTCCCAGAGCTTTTTTTTTTTTTTTTTTTTTTTTTGCGAACTCAAATTAGCTTAAAAATCTTACATGGATCGGGTGCTGGTGGCTCACATCTGTAATCCTAGCTGCTCAGGAAGCTGAGATCTGAGGATCATGGTTTAAAGCCAGCCCTGTGAGGAAAGTCCCTGAGACTCTTATCTCCAATTAACCATCAGGAAACTGGAAGTGGCGCTGTGGCTCAAGTGGTAGAGTGCTAGCTTTGAGCTGAAGAGCTCAGGGACAGAGCCCAGGCCAAGTTCAAGCCCCACAAGCTACCAAAAAATCTTACGTGGAGCTGGTTGCTGGTGGCTCATGGCTGTAATTATAGCTACTCAGAGGCTGAGATCTGAGGATTGCAGTTCAAAGCCAGCCTAGGTAGAAAAGTTCATGAGACTTTTTTTTTTTCAATTAACCAGCAAAAAACCAGAAGTGGAAATGTAATTCAAATAGTAGAGAGCCAGCCTTGAGCAAAAATGCCAGGTTAGAGTGCTAGAGCCTGAGTTCAAGCCCCAGTACCAGCACATATGTGCATGCATGCACATGTACATATACACACAAATCTGAGATGAAATAGGCACACTTAAAAGTGATGGGTTCTAAAGGAGAAATGTGATGGAATGTGTTAAGGAAGTTACTATTAAAACACTAAAATGCACACAATTAGACTTCTTAAATTCCTTCCAAAATTGTGCTATGGTAACAAGAGAGAGTCAAGCTCTGTTGCAGTTAAGATTTCACTTAAGAATTGACAGACATGGGAAAGATGGGTGAGAATGTTGAAAGGGGTGACATTGATCAGTATTCATTGCATTCATATACTACTTTGTTGAATGGCAACTCCTTTGTACAACTACTTAAAACTAAAAATCAAAAACTTTTAAAAAGAAAAAATAATTTACAGACAAAAGGTTGGCTTAATTGTCAAAAGTACAAGTCAAGATGGCTTGTTAGTACAAGGCCCTGGAACATATCTTGTCAGGGCAATAAGAATATTGCACATGTTCTTCAGTTTCTATACTTTTGTTAGTTCCTATTTTAGATATTCTTGAATAATACATTTTGAGGCCTTATACAAATGGCATTATCATAGAGAGTAGTTAGCATCTTCAAAATCCCCTTGGGCAAAAAATTATCAAATTAGTCTCCACTTTAGGATTCAATTTTCAGCTTCCCTAGATTTTTGGGCCTACAATATATAGTCCAGAAAGTCCCTGAAAATTTAGCGAGGTCTCTCCTTATTGTATATTGGAAAATTGCATCTATTTGTACATCTGTATCCATAAGCCACTTCCATATAGACAATAACATTACATATAACCATGTCTTAGGCTTTCAATTGACTTTACTTTTAATATCATTGAGGACCATGAAAGAATATAATAAAGGTGTCCTTGATTTATTCTTCCTTACAGATTTCTTGGATTCTGCCTCTTTAATCTGAGGACAGAACTTGTTCGCCAAAAAGACAAATGAGAAATGTGGAAATATGCTAAGAATTTAAATGAAATTGCAGGATTCAGAGGACAAGGAATTTCATGTTTGGGGAAGGATTTTTTTTTTTTTTTGATGCTAGTATTAGGGCTTGAACTCAGAGCCTTATACTCTTGTTTAGCTGGGACTCTGGCTTACTATTACTTGAGCCAAATCTTCATATACATTTTTTACCTCATTACTTGGAGATAAGAGTCTCACAGAGTTTCCTGCCTGGGCTGTCTTTGAACCATGATCCTCAGATCTCAGCATCCTAAATAGTTAGGAATAGAAGCCTGAGCCATTGGTGCCTGGCTTCACCTGCCTTTTTTAGGGTACTAACAATAGCTGGTTTTTTTCCTGTGTGTCCCAGTCCTGGGACAAAGGGACTTTAATTCAGGGCCTGGGTGCTGTCTCTTAGCTTTGTTTTTTGCTGGTTGTGGGGCCTGAACTCTGGGCCTGGGCTCTGTCCTTCAGCTCCTCAGCTCAAGGCTAGCTTCCTACCACTTGAGCCACAGTGCCACTTCCAGCTTTTTCTGCTTATGTGGTGCTGAGGAACCGAACCTAGGGCCTCATGCATGCAAGGCAAGCACTCTACCACTGAGCCACCTTCCCAGCCCTATCTCTTAGCTTTTTGCTCAAGGTAGTCCTCTACTACTTGAGCCACAGCTCCATTTCTGGCTTTTATTCTTGGTGGTTAAGTGGAGATAAGAGTGTCATGGACTTTCTTGCCCAGGCAGCCTTCTAGTTGGACTCCTCAGACCTCAGCCACCTGAGTAGCTAAGATTACAGGTATGAGCCACCTGGCTCAATAGTTATTTTGCATCTCTCATTTGTTTGTTTCTTTTAGGGTACTATCCAACTGAGAGATCACCCTGTGACGGCAGATAGAAGTAGTATGACATCTCCACCGCTCCTGGATACGAGCTCCATGGAGAACCCAGCTCTGTTTAATGACATCAAGATTGAACCCCCAGAAGAACTTCTGGCTAATGATTTCAGTTTACCCCAGGTGGAACCAGTTGATCTTTCTTTTCATAAACCTAAGGCTCCTCTCCAGCCTGCTAGCATGCTGCAAGCTCCAATACGTCCTCCCAAGCCACTGTCTGCTCCCCAGGCTCTTGTGGTATCCACTTCAACAGCTGACACGAGCACTTCAGCAAACATCCCTGCTGTTCTGACTCCTGGTTCTATCCTAGCCTCCTCTCAGGGGACTGGTGGCCAACCGATATTACATGTGATACACACCATCCCCTCAGTCAGTCTGCCAAATAAAATAGGTGGACTAAAGACCATTCCACTGGTAGTACAGTCTCTGCCCATGGTGTATACCAATTTGCCTGCAGATGGGAGCCCTGCAGCAATTACGGTCCCACTCATTGGAGGAGATGGCAAAAATGCTGGATCAGGTGAGTATCAACATTACCCATCTATTCTCCTTCTGAGTCATTCTATCTTCTGAAACTTTTCATTCCCTCCAGTTTTTCTTGCTTCAAGAGTAATCTTCATAAACACTTTGAAAAATCATATCCCCTCAATGCTTACAGGTATATGCTCACCTGGTAATGGGAGCTCATGCCTGCAATCAAAACTACTCAGGAGGTAGAGATTAGAAAGGTTGCAGTTCCAGGCCAGCCTAGGTAAATAGTTAAGGGAATCTAATCTCAACAAATGGGTGAGTGTGGTGGGACAGACCTATAATTCTGCCTATGAGAAAGGTTGTAGGTATGAAGATTATGATCCAAGGCTGTCCTTGAGCAAAATCTTCTAGTTTTAAAAAAAAAACAAAGCAAAAATTGAGAATCTAAGGGTGTGACTTAAGTGACAGAACACTTGTCTAGCTAGGGTGAGGCCCTGAGTTCAAATCTGGTACCACAGAAAGAAATGTAGAATGAGCTGGGTTATACAGCCCTGTAATTCAGTAGGAGGCTCACAAGTTCTAGGCCAAATTTCTAGTCGGAGCAATAAAACAGGAGAAAAAATAAAAGGGATCAAGAATGGGAAGGAAGAAGTCAAATCATTTCTATTTTCAGATGACATGATCCTATACCTAAAGACGCTAGAGATTCTACCCCCAAACTCCTAGCATTGATAAACAATTTCAGCAACATAGCAAAAAAGAAAGTGAATTCAATAGCTTTTCTGTACCCCTATAATGAATAGACAGAGAAAGAATTCAGAAGAATAACTCCATTCACAATATGTCAAAAATATGACTAGGAATAAATTTAGCCAAAGAGGTAAAAGACCTCTACAATGAAAAGTATAAGAATTTGAAGGTGGAAAATGAAAAAGACATCAGAATATAGACCTTGATGCTCATAGATTAGGCAAAATCAATGTGAAAATGGCCATAGCACTGAAAGCCATCCGTAGACTCAGTGCAATCTCCATCAAAATCCCAATGTCACTCTTCACAGAAACAGATAACTTAATCTTTAATTTATATGGAAGCATAAACTCCATAGCCCAAGACTCTAGCAAAAGAGCAATGCTGGAGGTACCACAATTGCAGACTTTGAATTATATTTCAGAACTATAGTAACAAAAACAGCATGGTACTGGCACAAAAACAAATACAAAGACTAATGAACAGACTAGACTACCCATAAATAAATTCATATATCTACATCCACCTAACATTTGACAATGGAACCAAAGATATATGTTGGAAAACACACAACCTCTCCAATAAATGATGTTGAGAAAACTGAACATCCATATGCAGAAGACTGAATCTACACCCCTATCTCTATACAATTATCAATTAAAAGTGGATCAAGGATCTTAATATAAAACCTGAAAATTAGAAGCTGATACAGGAGTGAATAGGTAAAACACTGGAACATAGTGGCATAGACAGTATTCCCCTGAATTTCAATAAATCAGAAATGAGAGCAAGGACTGATAAATGGGATGTATTAAACTAAAAAAAAACCCTTCTGCACAGCAAAGGAAATTGTCACCAGATTGAAGAGACAGCCAACAGGATGAAAGGATATATTTGCCAGCTATACATCTGATAAAGGGATTCATAACCAGAATATACAGACAAAAATATGAAGTGCAAACAGGCCTCTTGAAAGAAGTAAAAATGGCCAATAAATACCAGAAGAAAGTCCTGACCATCTAAATAAAACATTCCTGACACTAAAGGAAAGGCAATTCCAAATGACCCTGAGATTTCATCTTACTTCAATCAGAATGGTCATCATCAAAAACACAGTAACAAAAGCTGGAGAGGGAATGGAGGTGCGGAAGGAGCCCTGATACCTGGTTGGGAATTTAACCTAATGTAATCACTATGAAAAGCAGTATGGAGATTATTCATAAAACTACCATATGATCCAGCAATATCACTCTGGCATTTTATCCAAAGGAATGTAATCTGAGTATAATAGAGGCACTTGCATACCCATGTTCATTGCAGCAGTACGCACAATAGCTAAACTGGTTACAGCCAGTACTCTACATTAGATCAAGAAAATGTGGCATATATATGCTTCATTTGTGGTACTGCTTAAAGGAATGAGGGGGGTAAGGAGAAGAAAATATTAGAGGATAAGCAATACCAAAATACATTGCATCTGTGAGTAAAGATGGCAAAATGAAACTCACTGAAAGTTGAATAAAAAGAGTGGATGATTTATATAACTTGGTGGTGGGGAGGTGAGGGAGGGAAAGTAGGAGAAAAATGAGGGAAGGGGTAGCAAGTTTGATAAGAAATGTACTTATTACCTTACTTATGTAACTGTCACCCCTCTGTACATCACCTTGACAATTAAAAAAGACGTAGTGGAGGTGGAGAAAGTGAGTCAATGAGAGAGTCAATTGATTGAAGTGCCGTGTGTATATGTATATGTATATTTATATGTATATGTATATGTATGTATAAAACACTAAGATGAAACCCTGTTGAATATTAGCATGCAATACAAAAAAAGAATGACATGAGTGTAAAACAAGTCCTCTTCAGGGTAAAGATTCTGCAGGGAGGGTGAATGTTCAGGATGAAAGATGGTTAAATATGGTTAAAATTCTTTAAGTTCTTGAGTCCTTTTAGTCCTTACCCCAAGTCAGTCAAAGCTTATTTATGCTTACTGAGTAAGGAAACTTAAGGATATGGATGGGGATGGGCTAGAGGGGTGGGGTGGCTGGAGAATGAAGGAAGCAGTAACTGTTCAAGATGCATTTCACATGTAAATTGACATGTTAAGTTGAAATCCTTTTCTTCATCTATTTGAAGAAAAAAATTAAAAACAATACAAGCTTTAAACACCTCACATGACACATTTTAGTAAATAAAAATTATTTTTCTAGTTTAAAAAATAGTATTCTTACCAGTCATCTTCACCTTTATCATTCCTTATCTCCTCCTTCTATCTTAAAACAATTTCAACAGGTTGCATTTTTGTGTGTGTGCATGCCAGTATTGGGCTTGAACTTAGGACCTGGGCACTTTCCATTAGCTTTTTTCTTCAAGGTTGGCACTCTATCACTTGAGTCACAGCTCCACTTCTGCCTTTTTTCTGTCCAGACTGGCTTTGAACCACAGTCCTCAGATCTCAACTTTCTGAGTAGCTAGAAGTAAAGTTATGAGCCAACAGTGCCTGGCTATTTTCATACATACAAACAAAACTACTTTGATGCATATTCAACTTCACTTACTCTCTTTGTTAGCCCTCCTTTTTCCACTGACAAAATTGGTTTTACTTTCCTGTCAAAAATGTTATTCTTGTCTTCCCTACAAATATATTTCTCTCATCTCTCCTTTTTATACCCTCTGCATTTCCCTATTTTGCTTTCACTTCTCAATGTAGGCCATACTGAGAATCCTGAAAATGATTGCAGAATCATATACATTCTGCTCACACTCCTCCTTTTATTTTTAGTGAAAGTTGATCCCACGTCCATGTCTCCACTGGAGATTCCAAGTGATAGTGAGGAGAGTGCAATTGAGAGTGGATCCTCAGCCTTACAGAGTCTGCAGGGACTGCACCACGAGTAAGTACTTCTGTTTTCAAGTCTCTGTGTTTATGTGATGTGTGTGAACATGTACAAGCTCCCATTCATTGTGTGTATGTGTGTGTGTGTGTGTGTGTGTGTGTGTGTGTGTGCTCGCATGTGTAATTAAGTCTTACCAGGCAATTAAAATTGAGGACATCAAAATGTACATAAACTCCCCAGATATGATATGTGAGTTTGTGTGGACAAGTGTGTACATGTTATGTTACAGTTATATTCTAATTATTCACCATCAATTTTATCCTTGAAAACAATCTTCGAATCTCCTATGCATTATAGTTGTATGATCTTTGTTTCTATACATTATAACAACTTGATCTTCCAGTATTAAGGTGAACTGGAAGTCCTTGGGTTGCGTTTAGCATCATGTTGTATGAAAAATGGATTTCTTGAAGCACAAGAATAATGACACTTATTGAAGTAAAATGTTCACACTGTTTGGGAACACAACTCCCCAAGGAAACATTATGACCTCCCATGCCTTCTCAAGGACCTTCACTTTCTGAGCAGAATGGCCTTGTTGAAAGAATTGCTTGCATTATCCCAATAATTTCTTCTCATGGGGAACTAGGATTAAATTTGCATAAATTACAAGCATGGATGAGGTGGCATCACTGTATGCAAGCATTTTTTGTTTCTACTTTAAAATCAGTCTTTGGCTTTATGTTTCTTTCTTTGCTCAGACCAGCAACAATGGCCCAAATGCAGGGAGAGGAATCACTTGACTTGAAGAGAAGACGGATTCACCAGTGTGATTTTGCAGGATGCAGCAAAGTGTATACCAAAAGCTCTCACCTGAAAGCTCACCGCAGAATCCACACAGGTCTGCCCACCCCTATTCCACCTCAATATGCAGATATAAATACATACAGTCTCTGAGAGTTAGGAATAGAAGTCTTGAAATAATTTATACTTATGAGCACAAGCCCCATTCGTCGCTTTTATCCACATATCTTATTCCTAGGGCAACTTTGATTAAAAACAGCCTAGCAAAACATGAAGTCTGGCATCTTCTGAGTAGTCATTATCCCCAAGGTGCACCTGTAGATCTTTCTAGTTAGGAAGCTACAGCACTGAAGCAAATATATTTCTCTCATTCTGTAGGCTTCTCTTCATTCTACTGATTGCTTCCTGTTTTATGTGTATGCTTTTTAATTGGACCTAATCCTATTAGTCAAGTCTTAATTTTATTTCTTGGGCAATTGGAGTCCTGTTTAGGAAATCATCACCTATTTTTATATCTTTAAGTATTTCCTGTATGTTTTCCTCAATGTTGTGTGCCTTTTATTAGGCCTTTGACCCATTTTCAGTTGATTTTTTGTGTGTGTGTGTATCAGTACTGGGGTTAAACGTAGAGCTTGGGCACCATCCCTTACCTTTTTTTGCTTAAGTTTTTTTGCTCTACCACTTGAGTCAAAGCTCCACTTTGGGCTTTTTTGCTGGTTAATTAGAGATAAAAGTCACCTTATCTTTTCTGCCTAGGTTGGCAACATCTCAGCTTTCTCAATAGCTAGGATTACAGGTGTGATTACTGGTGCCCAGAATGAGTTGATATTTTGTACAGAGGGAGGGAATGGGATATAGTGTAAATGTTCAACATGTGTACGTTGGATTTTCAGGGCCATTTGTTGGAAAGGCTGTCATTACTGCAATGTAGATGTGTTTGTCACTGTGACTAAATACCTGAGCAAGTCAGCTTAAAGAAAAAGAGATTTTTAGTTCATTGAAACTTGTCTCCTGGACCTGTGCAGAACAAGACAAAATAACATGGCCAGGTAGCATGTGCTGGAGCAAAGTGGCTTACCTCTTGGTGGACAGGAAGCAGAGAGAAAAGCAGGAAGGTGTCAGGAACAAGATATGCACTTTAAAGATAATTAAAGATATACTTTTCCATGACCCACTTCCTCTAGCCTACTTACTTTCTCCTAGTTTCCACAACCACCTAATAATGTCATCAAATTATGAATCCACTAATGTATTAATCAATTGATTAGGTTAGAGCCATCCTGATGAATTCACTTTTTTGTGTGTTGATACTGGAACTTGAATTTGGGACCTCAAACTATCCCTTAGCTTTCTAGCTTAAGACAGGTGCTCTACCAATTGTGCCATACCTCTGCTTTGAGATTTATTTTTCCAGTGGTTAATTGGATGTAAGAGTCTCTGGACTTTCCTGCCCTGGCTGCCTTGGTCCTTTGATCCTCAGATCTCAGCTTTTTGATTAGCTAGGATTATGGGCATGAGCCACTGGTTCCTGGCTCAATTCACTTCTTAATGCGCTGGTGACCTAACCTTAAACAACTGACCTTTTGTGACGATTTTCCATCTAATCTCTAGCAGTCTCTACTTGGCCCATCTCCAAGAGCCCCCAAAGTCTCAATAGTTCAAACATTACTTAACAGTCTACCAAGTCTCCCCTGAGACTCAAAGCAAGCTCTGAGCTGTGAGCCTTTGTAAAAAATTTTAAAAAAGATACAAGAGTACAGAGTAAATAGTTTCATTTGTAAGGGAGGGATGGGAGAAAAGACTCAAACTTAGTAGGACAAAGATAAATGTTGTAAGCTGTGTGTCTGGTATCCAAGACTTGCAAGGGTATGATGTGAGCGGCAAAGGGCTGGGAAAGGCCTGCCCCTATGATATTGCTGGCTGCAGTCCACATGTTCTTTCTCTCCGCCTGGTTCTGCATACTGTATGCAGCATTCTTAGGCTGCTGTTTTATGTTTCTGACATCTCTCATTTCCTGGAGTCTCCCTTCCATCTTCACAGCTTCACATATCACCTTCTCAGGGGCTGCCCACAGCTATTCCAACCCTCCATATTATCTGGCCTCCCAAGCTTTTCTTGGAAATCTGTGTAGAAGTCTCCACGACTCTTTAACATTTACATTTTGCATGCTAGTAAAACCAGCAACATTTAGAGGACTCTGAAGTCTGCTATCAGCTTTAGCTCTAACTGAGCCAACTTGGACCACAGCTCCTTTGAGTGTTTGAATAAGTAAACATGAGGACATACTCCTTAGATTGTCTTGGGTCAGCATGGTGACCTTGAGTTCTTTTCTCAAACTAAAGCCTTTCCAGTGAGTCTGTATCTTTACATCCTTGAGCTTATGATAGTTGGGATCTGGCCATTTCCTGAGATGCCTTCAAAGTCATCTTTCCTATTGTCCAGATGCAGAGGACTTGGCATCTTTTTAATGGTGCTCAGTTTTTCAGGAACCACATTTTCCTTGGCCCCAACTTTAAACACACTCCTTTTATGGCCAAACTGCAAGTTTTCCCAATCTTCCATCTCTGGTGTTTGCTACTTACTAATTTTCACTGTAAATGTGTCTAAAAGCAATTAGCAATGCTCATGCCATAGCTTGAAAGCTGCACTGCCTTAAATTTTTCCGCAGTAGATAAACTAGTCTATACATTTTTAGCACTTATTTTAGGGTTTTTTCCCTGAGGCTTGAGCAAAAAAACTCAAGGACAGTACCCAGGAACTCAGCTTAAGCCCCAGGACTGGCACAAAACAGTGTCCTTTATTTGCAGCATTATAAGCTTTTCTTTTTAAATCCTGTATCTCCAAAGTTCTCAAAATTCTTCCCACAATCTAGTTTCAAAGGCTCTTAAACCACATATTAAGAATAGTCATAATAGCCGGGCACTGGTGGCTCACGCCTGTAATACTAGCTACTCAGGAGGCTGAGATCTGAGCATCCCAGTTCAAAGCCAGCCCAGGCAGGGAAGTCCATGAGACTCTTATCTCCAATAAACCACTTGAAAACCGAAAGTGGAGCTGTGGCTCAAGCGGTAGAGCGCTCGCCTTGAGCAGAAGAGCTGAGGGACAGCGCCCAGGCCCAGAGTTCAGGCCCCATGACCGGATTCCCCCCCCCCCCCAAAAAAAAAAGAAACTCCATTCTCTGGACTTTTCCTGCCCAGGCTGGCTTTGGACCTCAATCCTCAGATCTGTCTCCTGAGTATCTGGGATTACAGTCATGAGCAATCAGCATCCAGTGATCCATCACTTTTTAATGGCATCACCAGCTATAGAGCAAGCCTTCTATACATGAACCTTTGGAACTATTTTATATCTTAGTATGTTTTTTGCTCCTTTATCAAGAATCAGATGGATCCACTATTCCATTGGTCTAAGTATTTTTTTGCTTTTTTTTTTTTTTTTGGCTAGTGCTGATATGTAATACTGTTGTTTTGATACCTTCAGCATAGCCTTTTGTGTTCAAGATTGCTTTGGCTATCTCTAATAGAGTCTTTTGTGCTTATATATGAATTTTAGGATTTTTATCTCTTTCATGAAGGATGTCCTTAGAATTTTAATGGAAATTGTATTGACTCTGTAGATAGCTTTCAGAAGTATGTCCATTTTCATAATACTAATTTTGTTGATGGAGAGGGCATCATTCCATCTTTTAGTGTTTTTTTCTATTTCTTTAGTGTTGTACAATTTTTCATTGTACAGGTATTTAACTTTCTTGTTTAGGCTTCTTTTTTAACTATTTTGAATTTATTTCTCAGCACATCTTACTGATGTATAGAAAATATATTGATGCTTGCATGTTGATCTTGTACCTTTTGCTACTTTCCTTACTTTGTTGGATCTAAGAATCTTCTGATGGAGACTTTATTTTCTTGTAAGCATAGGATCATATAATACTCAAATGGGTATAATTCGAGTTCTTTCCTATTTATATTCTTCATATTTTGTATTGTTTTGCCTTATAGCTCTGGCTTACGATTCACATACTATATTAAAGCAGAGTGAAGAGAGTAGACACCTTTGTCTCATTCCTGCCTTTGTGGAAATGATTGTTTTTCCCTATTTAATGCAATGTTAGTTATAGGATTATTTATTATGTTTGAGGTATGATCCTTCTATACTTAGGTTTTTCAGGGCTTTCATCATGAAGGGGTATTGAAGTTTTGATAGGTGTTTTCTACATCTGCTGAGATGATCATTAATTTGTATCCTTGATTCTATTTATATGCAGGGTTATATTTACTGAATTGTATAGGTTGATCTATCCTGGCATCCCAGGAATGAAATTAAGTTAGTATGGCAAACAAACTTTTTAATGATTAAAAATTCAGTTCATAGATATTTTATTGAGGATATTTACATCTGTGTCCATCAAGGATATTTCCTATAATGTTCCCTTTGCTTGTGCCCTTTGTCAGGGTTCAGTATCAGGAAAATAGTGGCTTTTAGGGTGAGTTTGGAAGTGTTCCTTACTTTCCTATTTTATGGAATCATTTTGGGAGCATTGATATCAGTTTTCTTTAAAAGTCTGGCAATCAACAGTTAATTTGTCTGCTCCCAGACTCTGTGTGTGTGTGTGTGTCTGTGTGTGTGTGTGTGTGTGTGTGTGTGCGTGCAAAACACGCAAGCATGCTGTGTGTGAGAGACAGAAAGAAAAAGAAAGGAAGGAAGAAAGAAAGGAAGGAAAGGAGGGAAGGAAGGAAGGAAGGAAAGAAAGGAAGGAAGGAAGGAAGCAAGCAAGCAAGCAAGCAAGCAAGCAAGGAAGGAAGGAAGAAAGAAAGAAAGAAAAGAAAGAAAGAAAGAAAGAAAAAGAAGGACAGAAGGAAGGGCTGGGAAGGTGGCTCAGTGGTAGAATGCTTGCTTTGCATGCACGAGGCCCTTGGTTTGATTCCTCAGTACCACATAAGCAGAAAAAAACCAGAAGTGGTGTTATGGCTCAAGTGGTAGAGTGCTAGCCTTGAGCTGAAGCATTGAGGGACAGTGCCCAGGCCCAGAGTTCAGGCCCCATGACTTACCAAAAAAGAGAGAAGGAACGAAAGACAGTTTTGGTCATTGAACTCAAAGGCTCATGCTTTTGTCTAGCTTTTTCACTCAATGCTGGCACTATACCATATAAACCTTTCCACTTCTGGTTTTACTGGTTAATTGTACAAGAATTTTACAGTTTTTTTGTGCAGGCTGGCTTCAAACATCAGTCTTCAGATCTCAGCCCCCTGAGTAGCTAGGATTACAGGTGTGTGCCAGAGGTGGTTAAACTTTTGATTGGAAACTTTTACTATTTCAGTATCATTGTTTATCTTAGATTATGTTTCTTAATATCCTCTCAGTTTCAGTTTGGTAGATTATTTGTGTCTAGAAGTTTATCCATTTCTAGATTTTCCAATTTATTTCAATATAGGCTTAATCTAATGATCCTCTGGGTCTAAATTAACATTCTTTCAATTTCAGTTCTTTTGTCCCCTTTTACACTTAAAAACTTATTCTTGAGTCCTATATTAATTCAACAAAACTAATTTGATCACCTACTTTATATTCAGTTAACTTTTATCCATTTTTCACTCAAGGCTGGTGCTTTACCACTTGAGCCATACCTCCACTTTCTTTTACCTTCCAACATTATGGTTAAATAGTTTTGAGATGGAACTTTGACTAAGTCACTCTTGAGTTTAAAAATCTGCATTGTTACTTCAACAGGCAACCATTGCCTGAATTAAGAGATATAACAAGAAAGGGATAGCAATAGAAGCTCTCTATCCTGGTGGGGAGATTATTGACATGATTTTAAATTTGTAAATGATGAGAATAAAAAGATTAATTTTACTCACTGCTGATGGCTCACACCTATAACCTATAACTCACAAGACTGGCATCTGAGGATCATGACTCAAATCCAGCTCTGGCAGACATCCAAAATGTTCTTATCTCCAATTAATCATCAAAAGACAGGAAGTGAAACCAGGCACTAGTGGCTCACACTTATAAACCTAGCTACTCAGGAGGCTGAGATTTGAGGATCTCAGTTTGAAGCCAGCCTGCACAGGAAAGTCTGTGAGACTCTTATCTCCAAAAGTCAGCTGTGGAGTTGTGGTTCAAGTGGTAGAAGGCTAGTCTTGAGCAAAAAAGCTCCCAGGCTCTGAGTTCAAGCTCCAGTACTAGTGTGTTTTTTTAAAAAAAAAATATATATGTATATATGTATAATTGTAAAAATACTGTACGGAGGGGTTACAGTTACATGAGTAAGGTAATGAGTACATTTCCTATCAAGCATTGTTACCTCCTTTGTTTTCCCCTAAACATACACAAATTTTGAGTCTTACTGTTTTCAAATTCTCTGTTCGTTATAGCCTCATATAGGGCAACAACTCCCCTTGCCCACCTCACCTTTGGTGTATTACTGCCTTACTTACCTAAGTCCAAATTCCTTCCTTCCTTCCTTCCTTCCTTCCTTCCTTCCTTCCTTCCTTCCTTCCTTCCTTCCTTCCTTCCTTCCTTCCTTCCTTCCTTCCTTCCTTCCTTCCTTCTTTCCTTCCTCATTGTTTTAATCCAAACTTTTTCCACTTAGATTTTGTAATATGGATCATCTGTTAGTAATTCTGTAATACTACAGGATGGCTGAACCATTCACCTTTTGCCTTATGAAACTTTGTGCTACCCAGTGATTAGGCTGATTTTTGCTTTCTGGTCCACACATCTAAAACCTACCAATGCCTCCATTTCAATGCCTAGTCACACTGTCTTTATCTTATATTTACTGTGTATGTTTTATATAATGAATTATTTTTTCCTATATAAATTTTGTTCTTCAAATGATAGCATTGGTGGAGGTGATGAAATGTGCCATATGAAGTTAACTTAAACAAGGGTTTGTTTAATGATCATAAACACAATGTACTTAATATGTGATAACTGTTCTTAAAATAGAAAGATAGGTTTCTGCTGAATTCCTGTAATTTTTGTGATGAGCAATAAGCCTTGATTGCCACAGGGTGTCACTGCTTTACAAGCCAAATTTTCTTCATCTGGATGTAGTAAAGATAGGAACTCTCAGGAGAAATTGTTTATGTTACAACAAAATATTTCCATAGTAATATAACAGTTGAGATGTTTGGAAATGGTATAATATTGTAGAACAAAAGATGAAAATCTCACACTCTCCACAGTCTCAGAAAATCTCCTTCAATTTTTTTTTCTGTACAGCCTTCTAGCCTTTTCCCTGTGTGTGCTTATGAATAGTCATTCAGTAGCTTTTACATCTCATTTCATAATGTTTCATTGGTCTCAATACACTCATCCCTTTCTCATTCTTCTTAGCAACCAATGCAGCAATTTCAGAATAATGATATTATTAGTAATTGGCATCTTTGATCATCAAAACAGTTGCCTGGTTATTGTCCAAGCCTGTGAATCAGGTTGGATTCAATTCTATTATTCATTACCTGAAAGCTATACAGTTAATTAGCTAATACGTGGGTGGTGAGCAGTAAGATGGAAAACAGTACATAGAAACAAAATTTAAAGCAGCAACAATGTAAATGCCCTGGAAAATTTATAAAGAAGAAAAGGAACAAGATCCAGAAAAGATGGTTAGAATACGATGCAGCTCCTGTCTGCAATATTCCTTGTTTTTGATTATAAAATTAAGATTGCTCATTGTAACAGATGAGGAACAGAAAAAATGTACTAAAATGAAAGCATTTATTACCATAATTATAGCTCAGACTTAACCATAATTAATATTTGTGCAAATATAGCTTCTTTCTTTTTTATTTTTTTGAGATAAAATATATCCTGGTATCAAAACATTCAAATAGTACAAAAGATGCAAAATTAAAAGTTCTCTCTTCAGCATCTCTATCTTCATTCACTTCCCTCACTGTTAGTAATTCTTCTAATAATTTACATTTAAGTGTATTTATATTGACTTTGACCTTAGTATATAAATGTGTAGTATGTGACCATACATATAATGGGATAATTTTAGTACTGGAGGTTTAAGGACTCATGCTTGCTAGTTAGGTGGTCTACCCATTGAGGTTTGCCCCCTTACCCTGTTTTGTCTGTATTTTTTTGGATAACATCTTGTTACTTTCCCTAGACTGGTCTTAGAATGCAATCTTCCCTATACCACTTGCCTAGCTGAAGTTTCAGATGTGTACTACCTCACCTACCTTAGTTGTTCAGATGGCATCTTTTCCATGGGGTAGTGTGTGTTGCTTTAAAAAATACTACTTTTATTCCATTTAGCTTTCTACCCTGAGCATTTATACCCTGTATATAACCAGAAGAAACCTGAATATTCTGAACTCAATGCTATTTTTTTTTTTTTTGCTGGTCCTGGAGCTTGAACTCAGGGCCTGGGCGCTGTCCCTGAGCTGCTTTTGCTCAAGGCTAGTGCTCTACCACTTGAGACTCAGTACCAGTACTGGCTTTTTCCGTTTATGTGGTGTTAAGGAATCAATCCCAGGGCCTCATGCATGCGAGGCAAACATTCTACCACTGAGCCACCTTCCCAGACCATGAACTCAATCCAATTCAAAAAGTTTGACTTGATACTTCTCCTCATGCCATTTCGTGTGCTTAAGTTTCTAACTGTGTGCAGAAGAAGGCCTATGACTTTCTCTGGGTGCCCATTCTACTGAATCACACATTTCTCTTGTTTATATTTTTTAAATATTCAATTGGAGGAATTAGCAGAGTTAGTCCATTAGTTCAATATAGCAGGGTGGAAAGTGTCTAAAACCTGAGTTTGGATCCTAGTTCTTTTGTTTCCTAGCTAGAAAAAAAGAAAACAATCTCAGAACCCTGTGAGATCTTTTTACCCACTTTGGAGATGAGTAAACAGACTTGGCCAGGTGAAAGTGATTATGTAAGATCACAGAGGGTATGATTGAGCTAGATTTCAAACATCTATTTAATCCAGGGCCTATATGCTTTCCAATCTGACATCTTAGCGTTTATATGAATAACAGTGTATTAATTATTGAAAATCTATGAGTCTCTCCTTCTCTCTCTGTACATATATGTATGTATATGTGCATATGTGTGTGTGTGTGTGTGTGTGTGTGTGTGTGTTCTGGGGCTTGAACTCAGGGCCTGGGTGCTGTCTCTGAGTTTTTTTGCTCTAATACTTGAGCCACAGCTCTACTTCATTCTTTTGGTGGTTAGTTGGAGTTAAGAGTTTCATGGACTTTACTGCCCAGGCTGGCTTTGATCTGCAATCCTCAGATCTCAGCTTCCTGAGTAGGTAGGATTACACACATGAGCCACCAGCACCTAGTTCACAAATGTGTATTTTAAAAGTGTCCTCATCACCGTAAAAAAGTATGTGATGCCAATACATATATTAATTAGCTTCATTTAACCAAATCCAGAATGCATCCATTATTTCAATACATCATGATGTGCATGATAGAATTAATTTGCAAAAGTGAACAAGAGCATGCCTTTTTAAAATGGTTGCCTCATCTTTGACTGCAGTGCTACTAGCCAGGCATCCATCGCCTCTCTGATTCCCTTTGTTCTGTCATGTTTTGTTTTCAGGAGAGAAGCCTTACAAATGCACCTGGGATGGCTGCTCCTGGAAATTCGCACGCTCGGATGAGCTCACCCGCCATTTCCGCAAGCACACAGGCATCAAGCCCTTTCGGTGCACAGACTGCAACCGCAGCTTTTCTCGCTCTGACCACTTGTCTCTGCACCGCCGGCGCCATGACACCATGTGAGCACCGCAGACCACACTAGAGGAGCTGCACTGGTCTCCTGTGTGGGTGCTGAGATTGTGACCAGTTTGTCCTCTTTGACCTCTACTTGCCTCGGGGATGGGGTTGGAACAGCCTACTGAGCCAGGTTGAGGAGACTAAAAAGCTGTCTGGTCTCCCATGGGGCTCTTCATATTCTACCTTCACCTCTCCATTGTCCAGACTTCAGTTTTTTCAACCTCCGCATGGGTTGAATTCCAGTGCGGCACCCATGGCTGCCCCTTTCCCCAGACCCTCTATTCAGATATAGACATTTTTCCTACAATAACAAAACAGGAATCAAAACTCAAGGCTGTGAACAAACATACGCTGCTTCCCCTCCCCACCCTATTTTTTCTCGTTTTCTAGAACTTTTATCCATATATATATATCTATATTTTTAATCAGTACTTAAGGCAGTGGTAGTATCCTAAAATGACTTTTTTTTCATGTTCCTACATGGAGGGAGCATAACGATGCAGTTGAATGGTAAGACTGACAGAGAATTGGGTCCTAAATGTAGGGCATGTTCTTAGTGAATAAGCTGAGTCTCATACCAAACTTAAAGGTTTTGTAGATTCAATCCAGTTTTCTTCTTACAATTTTGTTTTCAGACATTGCTGGTTTCTTCTTCGTAAGTCCATCAAAGAGGATGAAGGGTCCTTCTTGTCTTTCTCCTCTTTCTCTTCCTGCTCTTTCAGGATTAAAGATTTTTGGGGGCACAATTACAGCTTCTTAGGTTACATTTGGACAAATATTCAAAGCACACAAAGACAGGTCAGTAGGGGAAAAAGTGTTCTAGGAAAATAAGTTGGTCACTGACAGGAACAAGCAAACCTGGGGGCGACCCTGAGAACAAATAGGATGACTTTCATTTGGACAGGATACGAAAAGTGCTGGTAATCATAAACCTCATTTCAAATGGCAGCCTGTTGAGACAGAATCTTCAGGAGCTGCACTGTACTGTTCTTTTTTTGTTTACATGAAGCAACAATTTAGTATATTTACATGATGAGAAGTACACACTGAGGTCGTGTTAACCAGAGGTGAGGGGTTGGAAAAAAGGACTTTTGTTTATGCCATAGCATTATTGGCAGTCACTAGTCTATGTTGAATGGGATATAAAAGGCTTTTTTTGTGAGAAGTGAGAGAGAAAAAGCAGTTTGGTGTTTTACAACTGTTAGGGACACCTAAGCCATTTATTTTTAGCTGTTACAGCAGATTGCATAACATACACATTTGGTTGCCCAATCAGACTGTTTCGTAATATTCTCTGGGGGGCATAAGCCCCTATGTTCCTGGCCCTGGAACTCAGATCTACCTCCACATGGCATATTTCCTCTCCTGGGGTAAGAAGAGGGGGCTTTGTATCAATTGGATTGAGTTCAACCTCTCTCCTAAAGGTTGTTTTCATATTGAACCCTTTTATCCTTGGCATATATTCAACCAGTCCCTGCTTAAATACTTTAGGTGACTACCTCCTGAAGCTGTCCATTCTGACTAAATCATAGAATTCTAGCATCAAAAAGGGATCCTATTAGCTTTCTAGTCCTACCCGTCCCTCATATTATACAGATGAGACAAATACGGGTCAGATTCTTTCTCCAAATGTTTCCTTGAGGCCTTATAGACCTGTACACTCCTTCTCCCAGGGATCACATTATTAAACCAAATTAAAGAAAATTTTATATAATTGGTTGCAATATTTGTCCAATTTTATGTGACACTTCAGAAAACTTGGAACCACTCAAAAGTCATGTACAGTTGATGATGTAGTAAGCAAAGTGGTTATTGACATATAATATTAGATTTTTTTTATCTCATTTTAACTCACAATGTTTTTCCATACCATCAACTATCCTTAAGTTTAAAGATTCTTGTACTTTTCAAGATGACATGTAGGTTTTTACTGTTGTGACTTTTATTTTAATATGGGCTTTTACCTGACTTTTGGTGTACAAGTTCCAACTATATACTAATTTCTAAAGCTCTAGCAAATATCCAGGGCCAGTCTATTCATTGGAAATCTCTATAGAATTATAATACTGATTGGTAAATGTGGATTACTATCACATATAGACTTAAGCTTATACCTCTGTAGTTAATACAGTATTTCACAGTAGAGCCAAGGGTTGACCCATTTCTCTACAGTTTGGATCCTGATTCCTTTCCCAGAGTTTAGAACTGACATGTGCCCCTCAGACCTCAGGAACATTTGCATTGGATCATATGATCCATTTTTATAAATACAGACTATCAGCTATTGTACTAATTAGAATGATCAAATCAGGATCCCAAAATTGGTTTTCCTGATGCACCTGAGCCTTTATTAAAAAAGAAAAACTTTCTGCAAATTAATGCTTTTGCAAGTGCTTACTGTCTTAAGAAGCAATCAATTCTAATCTTATTCTCATTGCCCTTTTTCTTGCAAAAAATGATTTTGAAACATTTGTAATTAATTACATATACCTTCAGAAATGTGACAAGAGCCACTAGGGGACTTTCATAGAGTACATGGATTCAGATGCAGTACAGTGAAGAATTGCTGCAATAAAAGCACATAAATAAATGTTTGCTATATAGTAAGGTGGAAAGGAGCTATAGTTTTTCTCCTTTTTGGTTAGCATTTGGAGTTTATTTGAATTTGATGTGCATATACCAGCAAAGCACTGCTAGTGCAAGCGTTGCCTAGGATATGGAAATGACCTTATTTGCTAAGTATGGTTAATAATTTAGGAATTGGTTGCAATAGAATTTCTCTATCTGGAAATGATTGGCATTTGAGCATAATTATTGATGCCTATGATTATTAAATTTAAGGAAAACTATGAGGACTATGAAATGGTTGGATAGATTAGATGGAGTGTGCTGTGGAGAAGATTTCTGATAGGAACTTCTTTATATTACTTTTGTTTAAAAAAAGTATTAAAACAGGGTCTCACTACATAGACCAGGCTGGCCTCAAACTCCAAATCCTCCAACCCTCATCCTCCCAAGTACTGTGATGACAGATGTGTGTTACCACAGCTGGCTCGGAACTTATTTTTGAATATATTTTTTATTTTGTAACGTTACCAGATTTACAGAAAAAAATTGTGAAGATAGTACACATCTAAGTTTTTCTGTTATTAACTCTACATCTAGTTTCCTGTTTTTAACATTTTACATGAGTGAGGTAATTTGTTACAATTATGGAAATGGCATCAGTACTTTAATGTTAACTATGGTCAGTACTTTATTCATATTTCTTAAATTTTTACCCACTATCCTTTTTTTGTTTCAATATTTCATTTGGTATAACATATTACCTTAAGGAGCATATTTCCTTAGGCTCCTCTTGGTTGTGACAGTTTCTTAGATTTGTTTTTAATGACCTTGGGAGTTTAGACAAGTATATTCTTGGGATTTATTCTATTTTTTCAAAAAGAGAATGGAATAATGTTTTTTGTGTGTGGAGGAAAAATACAGTGGTGAATTACTATTTTCATCACATGCTATTTACATGACTTATTCTTCTTCTTGATGTTAACTTTGGTCAACTGGCTATGAGACTGTTTATCCTATTTCTCCCATGCACTCTTTTACCTCCCATCCATCTCTGTACTGTTTGGAAGGAAATTACTATAGTCTTCACTTATGGAGTAGTGAGTTATGTACCATGTCCTTGAAAACAAATATCTGTAGGAATTATTTGGAATTCTTCTGTATGGGAGATTTGTCTCTTTTCCACATATTTATTTATGCATCCTTTTATTTATATCAGCATGGACTCATGGCTATTTATTTTATACTTTAGGTTATACTCCATTGCTATTTTATTGTGTTGCTCAAATTGTTCTGACTTTGGTCACTGGGAACTCTATTGAGGTGACTCTCAAAGTCTTTTTGACATGCCCCAATATGATTTTTTAAAGCCTGTCTTTAATTTCTGGCGCTGCAAGATTTTCTAGGCTCCTCTTGCTTTTCTTTTAATTTGAAATCTTCGGTGCATTTCTATAATCAGCCAGTTCTTCAGTGAGTCTTGGTTCCTTTCTCTGGAGAGATGTATTAGAAATCAAGATGTGGGAACTAGGTATGCTTGTTGCTGCTGAGGTATTGTTGTGTCAAGGCCTCCTTATCTGACAAGGAAATATATGTGTATACTAACTTATGTATATACACATAGCTATAAATATGTCTCTGTGTTAATCATCCATATCTTTATTTAGTTATACATGAGTTTATATTGATGTCTTTATTCTTGATCCATTAATGCACAAATCAGTCTAGTGGCTTCCCCTTACTATCTGTGTTACCTTCCATTTCAACAGTGAGAAACATGGCTCCCACCTTTCTGCCATCTATTTACTTAATTGTTCAATTTCAGTATATATAAATATGTAACAGTATCTTAATTGTTAACCTGTAAACACATGGGAAATAACTATCAACTAGAACCCGGTGCTTATGAATATGATAGTAATGTTTTTTTTCTTTTTTTTTTTTTTAAAGAATTCTAACAGCTCTTTGAAGCAAAGTGTTCTACTGAATTATGGATTTAGAGATGTCTGTGATTTCAATACTAAGGGTCTGGGTCTATCTATCCAGTATCTAAAACATTTTCTCATACCTGAACCAAATCATTATGAATTTACCTAACCTTAAAAAAGCCAAGGGAACTAGTGATGTTTCTTAGTGTGCTAATTCCTATATGAGGTACTATTTGAAGAGATGGACACAAAAGAAATTGGGTGCACCCAATTTAAAGAAACACTTAGCACTATCTTTTTTCCCCATTGCTAAATATGGATGTCTGGCAACAAGAGTGGTGCCCTTAGTTACCTCTCTTCCATATTTTCCCCATTCTCTTACATGGTTGACCTTAGGCAAATCAGATCACCTCTCCGTGCCTCTGTTAACCCATCTGTGAAATGGGGAATCCAAATATCTACCTCACAGGAGTGTTGTGAGGCTTCTTATTAATGGATGTTCTCAAAAATGATGAGCTATCTCTAAATGAACAAGAAAGTATTATAATCATTACTATGATGATAATTATAATTATCATTATAGTACCTATATGTACCCTGTATTTACTCTATGAAAAGAATTAAGAAAGATAATTGAAGAGTGGCAATCTTATTTCTTCACTTGTTCTCATGTTCCCTACATTCTCTTTGTGACTAACTAGGATTATATATTTCCAGACTTGAAATATATTAAGATCTAGAAGAATAGGTAGGCAAACTCCACAGATTTTTTTAAAAAAATTAAACAAGGGAAAGTTTATTTGAAGGTGAAAGAAATTCCGTGAAAGTAGCAGAAACTATCTGGAGAAAGAACTGAAGGGGAGTTCCCCAAATCCATAGTTTTAAAGTTATATTTCCCCTTCTCATTCTACTTGGACTACATTACATATCACTTTTTCAGAAGCACAAAGACAATTTCTCAAAGCCCATTAGTCTTTGCCCAGTTCAGTTTCCCAAATTCAGTTTTCTCCTCCTCTTACTGTACTTTGGACAGTAAAGGTAGGAGGAAAGGGGGGTGGGGTCGTTGAGTTGGGAGTGGACTGGAAGAGGAGGGAACATATACCAGTGTCTGGATATTTCTTTGTTTTTCAAACACTGGTATCATTTTCCATCTATCTCCCTTTCTAGTGGCTTAGAGGGCAAGGGAGGAGATATTATTTTTGTTAACAGTTGAACTCTCCTTCCCTTCCAGTAGATGTCCTCCTAGAGTCAGTTCAAGTAGCTGTATTGAACATTATTACTATGTTGTATGCAGTGATGTTTTCATTGTATTCCTGAATAAAAAAAGGGTGAAGAGAGTTCCTAGTGGTGTTCATCTCTATTTTTTGACAGGATGGCACAGCAGGAGAGCAGTACTAGAACCTGACTCTCTTTTATTTTGTGTTGGGGAAAGGAGCCTGCAGTGAAGGGATGTATTGGATTTTTGTCATTGTTTGTTTAAAGAAATTATTAAACACTACATTAAGCTTCAGTCTCTAACTTTCATGGCTGTGCCTCGTTATTTTAGTGCATTAGAGTAACCACCATTTTGACTTTGTTTTATACTATTTTTGCTTCAGAAGTGTGGCTTTGAACAATCACTTACATATGAGACTATCATGCACCTGAAGATACTCAACTGTGTCAGTTAGTATGGCCAC